ATATCTAAATCACATTTTTAAATTTTTAATTGTTAAGTTAATTTCACCTTTGCATTCAACCAAAAAATTATAAAATCCACACAAATAAATAGCAAAATCACATTTAGGTATTTATAGCTTAAATTAAACTGTGATCTGTTCATAATTCGGCCATTTTCCAATTTAATTGAAGAAATTAAACTTATTTATGACTTTATTTATGTGTAAAATTTATTATTTTTATTATTATATTTTTTTTATTATTTCTGGAAATCGGATGAATAGTGATGAATAGTGATGAACAGTATGATGAATAGTAATGAACAGTATAATGAATAGTAATGAATAGTAATGAACAGTATGATGAATGGTAATAAACAGTGCGTGAACAAAATACAATTTAAATGTAATTTAAGAACATATAAAATGGCCAAATATAAACAGACTATAATTTAAAGAAGCTTAAATTACTAAAACCACAAAAATATATAAAAAAAAAACACAAAAATATGTGAAAAACACAAAAATATGTAAAAAGAATAAAAATGTTAAGGAAATTACCTGATCCTCAGATTAAGGATCGTAAATGGATCAATTGTCTCAATAAATGATGTTTTTGATCTCCCAGAAGCTTTCTTTTCAAAGATTTAAGTGTGTTTTCTTTATATTTATTTTTTTGTTTTATTTTTTTTGTTATTTTCTCCTTTTAATGTTTTAATTCACCTAACAATGATATCTAATGGCAATTTCTCTTAAATTAAATTCACAAGAATTTTTGGAGAGAAATGTGACCTGCACAATTTTTTTAGAGTTTGAAGATTGTGAAGTGAAGTGTGTGAAAATTGTGAGAAAGAGGCCTATTTATAGAGGTTGGGTGAGTAGTACAGTCATTGTAGCACAGTAGTACAGTCACTGTAGCATGGTAGTACAGCTACTGTAGCACAGCTAGTACAGCTACTGTAGCACAATTACTGTAGCACAAATTACTGTAGCACAGTAGTACAGTTACTGTAGCACAGCTAGTACAGCTACTGCAGCACAATTACTGTAGCACAGACACTGTAGACGGACACTGTAGCACAGCTACTATAGCACGCACCCTTTTTTTTTTTTTTTTTTTGTTTCTTTTTTTGCTCTCTAGATAGCATTAACCCATTCATCCTCGTGTCCTCATCGGATCAGGCGAGGCATAAAAAACACGCGTCAACAGTTTGCCCCCCACTTTAGCATTAGTTGTATAAACAATTAATGTTAAAGTGGCTCACTGACGCGCCTTCTGGTAATCATCTTCAAAGCTCGGTTTGATTGGCTTTGAAGACACCTCTGAATCTCGGTCTAATTGGCTCGAAGGATTTTGGGTTGATTTGATCATCTGGTCACGTCCAAAGCTCAGTTTGATCGGCTCTGAAGGCTCCAGTCGGATCTGTGAACAACTCCAAAGTGCGGTCTGATTGGCTTCGAAGTCACCTCCAAGGCTCGATTTGATCGGTTTGAAGGATTTGTCTTGACCTAAAGGTTCCAGTCGGACTACATCAGCGTTCTAAGCATTGGCAGTCATCTGGCCACGTTCAAGGTTCATCTCCAAAGCTCAGTTTGATCGGCTTTGAAGTGAGGCTTTGAAGTGGACCTCTGAAGCTCGTTTGATTGGCTTCAGAGGAATTTTGAGTTGAAAGACCTGAAGGCTGCCAAGTCGGACTACCATCAACGTTCTAAGCATCGGCAATCAATCTGGCCACGTTCAAGGTTCATCCTCAAAGCTCAGTTTGATCGGCTTTGAAGTGACTCTGAAGCTCGTTTGATTAGCTCAAGGATTTTGTTGAAAAGACTGAAGGCTCCAGTTCGGTCGGACTACATCAACGTTCTAAGCATCGGCAGTCATCTGGCCACGTTCAAGGTTCTGTAGAGAAGGACAATTTCTGTGTACAAACAGACCTCGCCTGGTGGGTCCAAAATGGCTTCGAGAAACCATCACCGGTTGGCCTGAAAGTATAAAAGAAATGAGCAATTTCTGTGTACAAATAGATCTTGCCTTTGTTAAAATGTTGGAGCATCAAGTGCCCCCATGCATTAATAATTGTAAATTTTGAAATTTGAAATTTTTGCATCAGGACAAAAGGTTTTATTTTATTACATTCTCATGTATACTTTTCCTGATTCCTGACGCGGTATTGAAAGAAAACTTACCTGAGGGTAATTCGGTGTGATGATTTTGCCCCCCTGTGTGGCGAGTAGGCGGAATTTATTTGTAGTAGATGAGCCACACACTGACTCCATGATGATGATGATTCACCTGATGATGCTCCACCACCTCCATTGTCTTCTGTTAGGCGGGCGATAGCGAGTCCTAGTCGGAGGCGACGTTAGGCTTCTTCCTGTTTTGGATTTTTCTTTTCATCCTTTTTATAGCTCCTTTGGACGTATTACAATGTTTTTATATTTCTTTTGACTTCTGTACATTTATTTTGTTTACAAGTGTTTTGATTTTGTTTATTATGTACCTATATACTTTCTTTTTGGAAATTTTGCTTTATTCCTGTACAAAGAAAACAAAACTACGGAAAAAGTAGGTGTTCCCCTCACTTGTGAGAATGGCCCGCCTCGTTAATGCAAGCATAATATCCATCTACTTTATTCTAAAATTGACAACAGACAATAAAAATGGAACGTAAAATTGCCATAAAGTAAGAATACCGCTTGATTATCACTGAAAGCAGATGCCACTTGTCTATCTGTTGTATCTCCAGATGTTTCCACCACTAATTTCTCAATCCAGTGGGGCCCGTTCGCATCCTATCATCACCGAAAACAGATGCCATCCAGCTGACGATGATCATCATTTCAACCTCGTGGGGCCTTTCCCCTCCTATAAGTAGGAATCCCATGCTTCATATCCATGCTTCATTTCTCTCCCTCAATCCCACAACATTTGAAAACAACTTTTCTATCCATTGCTTTCAGAAATCAAGTTTCATCCTTTCGTTCAATCTTCTTCCGGATAACCTGTGGGAAATCCACCCTGATACAATTAAACCTGGGCTTAGATTTTCAAAGATTTGAAGCCTGATTAACCATATTTCTTATCCTGGCTCGTGGGTATTTCAATCCAATACTATGGTTTTCCGTTTTGAAGATTCTGAGTGACACCGGACCTACGAGAGCATGGTGCGCCATAATGGGTCACCACCTTGCTACAGATGAAACTCCAGGCTTGCCCCCAGGCCCCAGATATGATCATGGCCGAGAGAGATTTGCGGCTCTATGCCCGGTTTATCTTCCTGACGGAATAGATCTGAATCAAGGCCTTTCCCTTTAGAGCCTTTCTGAATAGGGTGTTGTCATGGATGCGAACCCTTCTTGGGTTCAGGCTTGTTGTTCCTGTTGCTGAATGTGATATTGTTTCCTGTTGCTGAATGTGTATGCCATGAAGAATCGCCAACCCGGAATTGGAGACTTCCGACTGCTGACTGTTGTCCGTGACATGCAGGTGTACCGTCATACCATCTTCATGATGATCATGGGAGAGACCATGTGCTGGGTAAGAGATATTGCCCTTCACGTCACTAATTTCAACATTCACCATTGGGGTTGCCTGATGTTACTGCAAGCCTGGGCCTTAGATAAACTGAGCCTGATTCCTCCAGTCCAGGCACGTTCCATTCCAACCTATGGCCCTGCTAATTTTCGACCCCATTCCCGAGGACAGTTTGATTTTGGAGATAAACCCGTGATTCGGTGGACTTGTCCTTGGTGGAGGATTAGACTTGTTACTGCTGGAAGTGTAAACCTCAGTTATGTGTTGTATGCCAGCCTTGATCATTCCATGGCTTATTTCCCAGACAGGATCAACCGCCAGTATGGTGTCGTTCAGCGCGTTCCTCGAGCCCATAACTTCAAAAGTGGTCTTATGACACCGAGTCTGTTGACCAATCTGGCTGATCGCTGGCGAAACCGAAACACCTGGTATATGGGTCAAGGGGTGATGCAAGACACCATAACACCCGAGTATATTGACTGGTTTTATTCCTAATGATGAAACTGGTTCTTGAAAGGGTTGGTGTCTGATGATCCAACTGCTGGGATGAATGCTGTTGCAACTTTTCTTTCGTTCAGTTTCCTGTATTCCGGGGGGCCATGAGCTCCCAATCAATGTATCCCCTCTTTTTTTTTTTCAATAAATAACTCTGATAGTTCTGTCTCTATTGATTCCTGCTTTCTGCACTTAGAGGCAACAAAAGACAACAAATCTTTTCTTTCGAAATTATTTGCTGGATTAGCATTTGGGCCTCCTCTTCCTTGCCCTTGGACTAAAAATGAAAAGTTACATTAAAGAGTGGACTCCTGCCCTTGGACTAAAAATGAAAGTACATAAAGAGTGGATCTTTCGATTAAGGACAGAAACTTACATCTGAACAAAAAGATGGGGTGACCCTTTTATCATCTGCAATATTCAGAAAGGAAGAAAATATGCAACTCCCTTATGTATGCATGAACCTACTAAGTGCTAAGGGTTTTATTCATGGTTTTTCTTTATCGATCCTTTTAAGGAAACCACTGAGAAAATAGCACTTGATCCCCTAATCGCTGTCTAAAAGAATCCAATATTCAGGCAGGATCAACAGCCAAACACCTCGACCAAATAAGCAGAGAGGAAGGTCTTGTAACCAACAATCATACCCCAGAAACAAAAATGGAAGAAAAAAATTTGAAATTCAAGTTCTTTATTAATCCTACTTCTTTCAACATCATACAGTAGTAAAGAGAAATTATTCTAATACAATAGTTGTTTATTCTAATTACTCATTCGCCTGCTCTCCTTCTAGTCAGGTTGATAGCATTGAGCAACCATTCGCAAGTCTGTCACAAATGCATGGCATAGATTTCGCATTTAAACTAAGCACCATGCGTTAATCCCAAAATTTTATTTTTTTATTATTATATTTTTTTATACTCTAACTTTTGCCTAGGCCGCCCTTTACGGGTTTTCAACCTAGCTATTTTTTTTAGTGATCGAAATCATCATCTCAGACATAGAATCTTTTCATCTGGTCTTGATTAACGATCCGATTAAAAGGCTTCCCTTCCATAGTGACCAATTCAGCTGCGCCTTTGACCAATAGCTTCTGAATTCTGAATGGTCCATGCCAGTTGGGTCTGAATTTTCCTCCAGGATGACTCTGGGCTTCGTGGTCTAACAGCCTGACCAACACTAAATCTAAATGTCCTTTTTCAAAGCCCTTGGAGTAACCCGCTTTGTTGTAGAACGCAGCAATCCTTCTCTTTCTCATTTTCTGATCCTGGAACTGGCATTCCAATCTTTCTGCCATTAAAAGTGCCAGATTCTTCATACCTTTCTTGACCCATACCTTTTCTTGACCCACTCTTCTTCGATCAGACCAGCTTCCACAAGAACCCTGAGAGACTTCTTTTCAAGCTCTACCGGTAACACTGCTTCCATTCCATATACAAGCTCGAAAGGAGAAGCTCCATTTACTGATTTGAAAGTAGTTCGATGCCCCCAGAGCACAAAAGGAAGCTTCTCAGCCCAGCTTCTATACTTCTCGCACATTTTGGACAGGATTTTCTTGATCTCCTTATTGGCGGCTTCCACTGTACCATTAGCTTGAGGCCGATAAGGAGAGGAATGATGATGCTCAACCTTATATTTGTATAACAGCTGGCCGACATCTGCTTGGAAGTGAGAACCATTATCTGTGACTACGTGATGGGGAATGCCATAGCGACAGAAAATGTTCTGCTCAATAAATCTAGCCACTTGTTTGGCGGTCAGAGTCTTGTAGGATTGAGCTTCGATCCACTTAGAAAAATAGTCCACGGCGACCAAAATATACTGATAACCATTCGAAGTTGCTGGCGTGATCTTGCCAATGATATCTATACCCCAAGCTGAAAAAGGCCAAGAAGGAGTCGTTGGATGGAGCTCAACAGCAGGCAAATGATTTTTGTTATATCGTGGTACTGGTAGGCTTTACAATGACGAACATAATTGACGCAGTCACCTTCCATCTGTACCCAAAAGTGGCCTTGCCTCATGATTTTTTGGGCCAAACTCATGCCACTCAAATGAGTACCACAGACTCCTTCATGGATCTTCTTCATTATCTCTACTCCTTCCTTCTTGTCTACACATCTTAGAAGCATTCCATTCCAAGCCTTCCTATACAGTTCACCATCGGCTAGAACATACTTCAAAGCCATTTTTCGTAGAACCAATCGATCTTCTTTGGTTGCATCATCCGAAAAGGTTCCATCTTTCATATACAGTAAAATGTCCATAAACCAAGGTTCTTCCTCTGACTCAACCTGATTCACAAAATGTTCTTCGTAGCATGGCATGTTCGCTGCGGTGATGATAAACGGCTTCTTTGGAAGCTTAGCCAAATCCTGCCATGCTGAGGCTAAGTTCGCCAAGGCGTCTGGGATTCTGTTATGAGTTCTTCCTATGTGAGTAAAAGTGATCTTGTCAAAGAGTGCTGCTTTCTTTAATAAGTACTCAACATAGGGCTTCAACCTTCTTTTCTTCCTCAACTTTCCTCTCTCATAGCGGTGTTCGATAAACCAATAGGGAATCTCCTATCAACCTACCTCCTTAGCTCCTGGATGCAAGAAGAGGACTCAATTCCCATTTGATACACGCTTCATATTCTGCCCATCCTTAGCTCCTGATGCAAGAAGAGACTCAATTCCCATGATACACGCTTCATATTCTGCCATGTTGTTGGTGACTGGGAACAACAACCTTTTGCACATCGTTGTTACCTCGCCGTTGGGTGCTTCTATCATAATACCAGCTCCAGTTCCATTTCTATTGGCTGATCCATCAAAGTACAGTTTCCAGACCCCTGTTTCAACGCATAGCAAGTGTTCATCTGGAAATTCTAACTCCCAAGTTTCATCATCTGCAATGGGATTCTCAGCCAGGAATTCTGCAACTACCTGACCTTTGACCGTCTTCTTTGTGACGAACTCTGCATCTACACTGGACATCTGAACTAACCATTTGGACAACCGCCCTTCTAGTGTAGGTGTTTTCTGAAGATACTTCATAGGATCAATTTTAGAAACAAAGGTGACCCTGAAAGAATCAAAATAAGGCCTTAGCTTCTTAATCGACCACACCACTGCCATACACGTCTTTTCTATCAAGTTATACTTTTCCTCAATAGGTAGTAATTTCTTGCTGATATAATAAATGGCCTTTTTCACTCCAGCAGCATCTGGTTGTACCAACATAGCTCCAACTCCTACATCCTCTACAGATAAGTACAAAATTAAAGGCTCACCTGATCGAGGAGAACTTAACACTAGCGGGTTCATCAAGTACTCCTTTATATGGTCAAAGGCCTTCTGACAATCCTCATTCCATCTGACCGGCTGGTTCTTCCTAATCAACTTGAATATCGGAGCGCAAGTAATAGATAATCTAGAGATGAACCTGCTGATGTACTGAATCTTCCCCAAGAAGCTTCTTACCCGACGCTCTATTCTAGGAGGTTCCATGTCTTGAATGGCTTTTATTTTGTCTGGGTCAATTTCAATCCCGTTAGGTCCCATAATAAAACCTAACAGCTTCCCCTTCATGACTCCAAATATGCACTTTTTAGGATTGAGTCTTAAATTGTACTGTTTGACCCGCGAGAAGAACTTTTCCAACATCTCCGTATGTTCTTCTTGTGTTTTTGTCATGATTACCATATCATCCACATATACCTCCAAACCTTTATGGATCATATCATGAAACAAGGTTGTAGCCATTCTTTGATATGTTGCCCCAGCATTCTTCAACCCTTCTTCAACCAAACGGCATCACCCCTATAAGCAGAAAGTTCCCAAAATCAGTAGTGAAGGCATTTCTTTATGTTTTCAACTGAGGGCCATCAAGATTTGGTTGTACCCGGAGAATCCGGTCTATAATAGAATAACATCCCATTCCAGCAGCACTGTTGATCAAAACAATGTGTGGAAGTGGAAAGTCATCTTTGGGCGAGGCTTTGTTTAGATCCCTGTAGTCAACGCAGACTCTTATTCTCCCATCCTTCTTCAGCACAGGGACTATGTTTGCCAGCCACTCAGGGTAATGTACTACCTCCAAGAATCCTGCATCTAACTGCTTCTGGACCTCTGCTTTAATCTTGTCTTGCCACTCTAGCCTGACCCGTCTCCTTTTCTGCTTTACTGGCTTAATGTTCGGATTAGTAGGGATGAAATGTTCTGCGATTGACCTGTCGATCCCTGGCATGTCTGCATAGCTCCAAGCAAAAACCTCTAAATTCCTCTTGATGCATTCTTGGAGATCGTGTCTGAGTTCAGGCTTAAAATCTGATCCGATTTCAATTATTTTGGGATCTTCGGTGGTGCTTCAGTTAAATGCAAAATGATGCAGTGCATTTATGTCAAAGATGCGCATGGTATAATCAATGCCATGAACGACGTGACAATCAGGTAAAACAAGAAAACAAGTAGTTCAAAGTTCACTTCCATTGATTGAAATAATAAAGGAAACCATCCAAATCGTTCTCAAACAATAATCAACCATCCAAATCGTTCTCAAAACAATAATCAGAAAAACAAAAGACAAGATTAATAGCCTGTTCAATACATTCATCACAACTGTTTTTGGTTGCTTGAATCACTTCATCAGCATCTGGAGCATCCTCTGCTTCTGGGGTAGCTTTTTCTGTTGCCTCTTCATGCTCTGTCATCTTCATCATCTTCCTCTCTGCTTCTTCAACATCTTCAGCTGCTAGTATCAACTGGAGAATCCTCACCTTAGCCTTTTGCTCTGCAACCATTCTTGAGGCTTCATCCCCAATCCCCAGGAAATCTTCAAACTCAGGTATCTTCTGTGACCATTCAGTCCCACTACCTGTTTGAACCATACCAACCATGAACTGTGTGCCTTCTACCAACTGTTCAGAGGAAGGCTCAGGAGACTTGATCAACTGCTCATCAAAATCTGTCATGAAGATCTCAAGGCCAGGATAGGTCTTTCCCCTGCTCTGAAATTCCCCTAAAGCCTCTGGGACAAAGAAAATCTTATTCAAACCTGGCTCTCTTACCGGAGACTGGACTTCATATTTCTCCTTCTTTCTACTCTCTGAATACCCCAGCCCACGTCGGCCTTGTTATCCATGTGATGAAGGCACAGGTTCAAACCTTCCTTGTAAATCTCGGCCTAGCCCTTTTCCATATTTCCATTGCATCTTTTTCATCATTTTTTGAGAAAAAGGGCTCATCCTGTTGACTGCACTTTTACTCTCAGTGATTACTTCATCGATCATGGCCACCTGAAAACCAGACAAAGGCATTACCGCCTCCAAACCTTCTACAGCTGCCACATTCAAATCTTCTTGTGCATTAATGGTGATCACATTAGTGCCCCACGGGACTTTAACTTTCCTGTGCAATGTGGAAGGATTGCACCAGAGGGATGAAGCCACGGCCTTCCAACAGTAGAAGCATAATTGGCCAAAATATCCCAAGACGACTATATCCTACCCCAAACTTTCTTATAAGTTCCTCTTCGAAATCTTTGCTGGAAAGTTCCCTAGCATGCGCATGGTGTTTGTATAGGCTTTCACTACCATGTTAGACGGTTCAAGTTCCAATTCCTCAATCTTGAATTTAGACAGCATCTTCAGTGGGCATACACACAAGGCCGCACCCGTTATCCACCACACATTGCGGGTTTCTCGCCCATTTAATTAGGCAACCTGAAATGTACGAGGCTTGAAGTAGATTCCTTCCTTCTGGAGGGATGTCGGAGTCAAAAAGATTGATTCTCACCAATCCTGCCGTTGTAACAACATTGAATCATATTCCACGCTCTGGATTCTGGCAGGCAACCCTAAACAAATGTCATAGCTACAAATGTCATAGCTTCTAACAAAGACTCTCTGTGCTCCTTTGAAGCTATCAGTAAATCCCACAGTGAGATATCTGCCTTGGTCCTCTGTAACTGGCTCAATACTGAATTTGTTGTTATACCGCTTGGTGTCTTGTTCTGACTACTCTCACCCACTCCAGTAGTCTTCTTTTGCACCTTTCCCACCTCATCTTCTTTCTTCTTTTCCTTGGTCTGTTCGTCACCCTTATCTGATGCTTTCTTTCCCATCCCATCGGTGGCAACTTCTTTTCCTTTAGACTGAGCACTGCCATCTAGATTATACACATGACCACTTCGGGTTAAGCTCTGGATGCCCACTTCATTTACATCCTCATCACTGCTATAGTACCACTGATCTTCCTGATCAGCCAAACACTTTTCTGGATCGCGGGGGGGAGTCAAGCTGAATCTGCCTCGTCTTCGCTTTCTGGTACTTCCACACCACCTTAACTGTTGATGCCTTTTATCAATTTCAATCTTTACAGGCCTCTTCTCTTCTTCCTCCTCACTGCTGTAATCATCCCAAATGTTCAGCATGGCAACACATTCTTTCCTCCCATTCCAGCTTCTGCCAAACACCAGTTTCTCAGGTAGGACCATTCCCAATTAGGCATTAATCGATCCACCCGCCTCGACTTGTGGGATGGATAGTTGTACTGGTATTGTGGCAATGGATTATTCTTTGTGCTCGGCCTTAATTCCTTTTGGAAGGTTTGGTAATCTTTCCACTATTCTATCAGGTCCTGGAATGTTCGTGCCCTTAACTTGAAGGCAATCTTTAGTAGAATGCCCCTTACACTGGTGGTAGTCGCAGTTCCCGATCCATAAACCTACCCGGACAGGCCTAGCTGTGGATTTAACTTGCAATTTTAGACAGCACGCCATTTTTGATACAAGACCTCATGACCGTGCTTAAAGGTCTGCCCAAGTCAGTGAACTCCCTTCTTACTTTCTCATTGACAGTCCCAACCGTGTTACTATTCCCTGATTGGTTTGCGGCATTATTTCTAGCATTTCTATCAGTGTAGGAGGACCGTTAGTTACCAAACCCCCAGTTCTTCTTCTTTTCATCTTTGTACAGCTCTTCGATGTTCAGCCCAGCCCTTTGAACTAGAGAAAAATCAGTGAGAGGTTGGGCTAGCATCCTATCCTTGAAGAAAGGTAAGAGGCTTCGACTGAAAATCCTGAAAAGCTCTGATTCCTTAGGCCTTGTCTGGACCATGAACAGTTTTGTCCTCCACCTCCTGTAATAATCCGAGAAGCTTTCATCCTTTTCTTGCCTTAAGCTCTCCAAATCATGTAGACCGAACTCATCACTTTCATCCGTTTTGAAGTGCTTAAGGAAAGCGGTTTGAAGTTTGACCCAGTTTCTTCGTACTTCCATCTCCAAATTGTCATACCATCTCCAGTAGTTTTTGTGCAGTGTCTGAGGAAATGCCCGCAACACATC